AGCCACAAACCCTCACAAATCCCGTGAGTTACTGATCTCAATTCCGCCTCTGCACTACTTCTAGCAACAACTACTTGTTTCTTACTCCTCCAAGTTACAAGATTACCCCACACAAGAGTACAATACCCTGAGGTAGACCTTCTGTCCTCAACATCGCCAGCCCAATCTGCGTCAGTATAGACCTCTATGTTTCTATCTTCTCCTTTCTTGAAGAATAAACCTCGTCTTGGTGTTCCTTTTAAATACTTCAGAATTCTATAGACAACTTCTAAATGTTCTTCAGTAGGAGAATGCATGTATTGACTAACTTTACTTACTGCAAAGGCTATATCAGGTCTAGTGAGACAAGTAGATAAGTCTCCCAACTAGAGGTTGAAAGCGGCCCCTTGTCTACAGGACTATTATTCCTTACAACTTCCCTTTTTTTATTTGGTTCTATAGGAGTCTCTACTGGTTTGCAACCCAACATCCCGGTTTCTTTCAAGAGATCTAGTACATATTTTCTCTGTGAGATTGAAATGCCACTTCTGTTTCTAGCAATCTCTATTCCAAAAAAATACCTGAGGCTCCCAAGATCTTTAATCTTGAACTCTTCTTGCCAGCTTCCTCTCGAGTCTTTGTTCTTCTTCAAGACCATTTCCAGTCAAAATAATGTCATCGACATACACAATGAGTATTGTAATCTTACTGTCCTTATGTTTATAGAATAGTGTGTGATCACCTGCAGCCTGCATGTATCCCTGCTCTTTGATCACCTTAGTAAATCGGTCAAACTAAGCTCGTGGTGATTGCTTTAGGCCATATAGTGATTTCTTCAACCTGCACACTTCATCACACCTTCCATCTTTGTTGAACCCAGGCGGTAGCTCCATATAAACTTCTTCCTCCAGGTCACCATTAAGAAATGTGTTTTTCACATCAAGTTGTTGCAATGGCCAATCTAAATTTGCTGCTAGAGACAACAGAACTCGAACAGTATTAATTTTGGCTACAGGTGTGAAGGTCTCCTGATAGTGTAGCCCTTAGCCACCAACCAACCTTTATATCTTTCAATTGAACCATCTACCTTATACTTGACTGTGAATACCCACTTGCACGGAACTGGAATCTTATCTCTGGGTTTTTTCACAATGTCCCACATGCCATTCTTCTTTAGAGCTCCCATTTCTTCCAAGACAACTTGTCTCCATTCCGCTTTTTCCATTGCCTCCTGGATATCTCTCGGTATTTCCACACTTGCCATATTAGACACCAAGGCTTTCATTGGTCCTGACAAATGATCATACCCTACATAATTGGTTATAGGGTGTTTGGTACAGGATCTGGTACACCCTTGATTAGAGCAATAGGAATGCCTAAATCTTCCAACTCTCCCTCAAGACCAGACTCTGGGTCAGATTCTTGGTGGTAACCTTCTGGCTTTCTCCAACTTTTTGGTTCTTCCTGCGTGAATAGGTTAGATCAAATGGTTGCAGACCACCCTCCTTAATTTTTTTATGTTCTTGACTTTGGTGCTCTAAGGTTTTGAACTTGTGTGGGATTGTCAGGCTGTGAAGGATTATCTACCTGTTCTGTGATGGTGTGTGGTTAATCATAGCCAGGTAGTTCAAGTACAGGTAGATTTGACTGAACATTATCCGGAATTTTAGTGGAATTTTCTACGGTAGTGGTTGGGAAATTTTCAGGCTCTATAACAGGTGGATCTGTCTGATTTAAGCCAGGAGTATTTTCAAACTTTTTACCATGATTCTCTACTTCAGGGGATGTTTCATTAAGACTAGAATCCCTAGGTTCACGGTTTGTAATTTCTGGAGGAGGAGCAAAATCCCAAAAAAATTCCCAAGACTTAAGGTCCAAAGATTCGGAGTTTGGAACTACAGGATATATTGACTTCTCCCAAAAATTATCTTCCCATATTTTCTCCCCTTGAAGGAAATTTTTGGTAAACGCAGGTTGATCTTCAAAGAAGGTGACATCCCTAGACACAAAGTACTTCCTCTTTTCTATGGAGTAGCACCTATAGCCCTTTTTAGTTGCAGAATATCCTAAAAAAATACATTTATTTAGTTGTAGAATACCTTAAAAAAATACATTTATGACCTTTAGGGTCTAATTTTCCCCAGTTAGGATCAAGGTTATGGACAAAGGCAACACAACCAAACACTTTTAGCTCTAGAGAAGATGTAACACGAGCCTCTGGGTAGGATTTGTATAGGCATTCTATCGGTGTTTGGAATTTGAGAACTTGAGAGGGTACCTTATTTACCAAGTATGTTGCAGTTAGAACTGCGTCACCCCAAAAATGCTTAGGAAGATTTGCTGTAAACAGTAATGACCGAGCAACTTCTAAAAGATGACGATTTTTTCTCTCGGCCACTCCATTTTATTGTGGTGTATCAACACATGAGCTTTGATGGATAATTCCATTATTTCTCACAAATTCTCCTAACATGGCATCGAAAAATTCGGTGCCATTATCAATTCTCAAGAATTTAATATTCTCATCAAATTGTGTTTTAATCATTGCATGAAATGCTTTGAAAACATTCCCGGCTTCGGATTTTTCTTTTAGGAGATAAACCCAGCAGACACGTGTGTGGTCATTGGTGAAAGTTATGAACCATTTTTTGTTGGTGAGACTTGAAATACGAGAAGGTCCTCAAATATCACTATGAATAAGAATGAATGGTTTTGATGCACGGTATGGTAAAGGAAAGAGATGAACACGAGTGTGCTTTGCTAATTGACAAACTTCACATTGAAATTTTTCATTATTCTTGAACAAAGACGGAAACAAAAACTTCAAATAAGGGATACTAGGATGTCCTAATCTATAATGCAATAACATAACCTTTTGAGTTCTAGAGATAGAATTGCTTGTAACCATCTGAGCTTTCCCATTAACGCTAGAATCATCCTTAAAGTAGTATAGGCCATCCAGCTCCTCAGCACTGTCAATCCTCTTCCCCGATAATCGGTCCTGAAAGATACAAATAGACGGCAGAAAAATTACTTCATAGTCTAAGTCTTTGGTTATCTCACTTATGGACAAAAGATTAAAACTTAGATTCGGCACATGGAGAACCCTTTTTAACGTGACACTAGGTCCAATTCTTATAGTCCTTGTACCGGCCACCACAGAGGAGGTCCCATCGGCAATCTGCACTTTGTAGATATATGTGGTGTAAAGTTTACCACAACCAGTCATGTGGTCCGTTGCTCCTGAGTCAATAATCCATAGTTCTTCTTTTGTTGCCAAGCCACAAAAAACAGTTAATGCTTTACCTCTTTGAGCCAAGAGAGATGATGAGTGGGAAGATGATTGTGTCATCATCTGCCTTAATTGTTCCAGCTATTCCTTGGAGAAAACTGGTGCTGCAGTGGCTGGAGTGGTTAATTCTTCATCAGTTTTCTCGGCTGCTGCCTGAAATCCCTTTCCTTCACGTCCACGGTTCCGAGGTGTCCAGTTGGTCGGTTTGCCATGTAGTTTCCAGCAAGTCTCCTTGGTATGATAAGGTTTCTTGCAATATTCGCACCACTTCTTGTTATTTTTTCCTTCCCCCAGATTCTCCTGTCCACGTTCACGAACAACGAATGCAGAGTTCTCTAACTTCTGCATATTTCCTCCAAGCATGACCTTCTTTCTTGTTTCTTCTCTACGCACCTCAGCGAAAATTTCTTCAATTTGGGGTAGAGGTCTCATTCCTAGCAATCGGCCACAGACTTCATCTAAGTCTTTATTAAGTCCTACAAGGAAATCCTATATCCGGTCCTGATCTATCATCCTTCTATACAATACTGCATCTTCGGGGTCTTTCCAAGATGGAGATGAGAAGAGATCTAATTCTTGCCAAAGTCTTGTCAACTCATGATAATACTGTGTAGCATCACTCTCCCCCTGTTTCAGATTTCTCACCTTGTTTCTCAATTTGAACATCTGTGTGGCATTCTCTAAATCGGAATAGGCCAAGTTTACAGCATCCCAGATTTTTTTTGCTATGGGAAACATTATGTAGGTATCTGCAATGTTGTCTTCCATCGAGTGAATCAACCACACCATCACCATGGAGTTTTGAGCTTCCTAATTCGCATAAGAAGGGTCTTCAATTTTGGGCTGCAGAATTGAACCATCCAAATAGCCCAATCTTCCTCTTCCTCGTAAAACCATCAACACTGAACGAGACCACTTAAGAAAATTCTTTCCATTTAATTTGTGGGTGGTAATTTGTAGAGAGATATGGTTGGAACTTTTGGGGTTCATGGAAGTGGGTTGAGAAATAGCAGTGGGAGCAATTGTGGAGGTAGTCCGAGAGGCGTTGGAACTTTCCTCAGGGACATCGCCTCCGCTTGCTCCAGTCAAAGCCCTCCTATACGCTGCCATCTACAACTCGGAGTTCAAGAATGTCCAGACTTAATCGGCTTTGATACCATATAGCAAGAACCCGAGGAGATAGCACTAGAGGATAAACACTGCTAGAAGAATGAAAATTATAGTTCTCTCATTCATATTCCTAGGCATGTACACCGGCCTCCTTATATAGATAAGCCAGGGAACAACAAATAAAAGGAAACAAGATAAATAAGGAAACAAATCAAAAAAGAGGGAAACTGCCTAATCACCTATCCCAAAACTTTAGGGAAATCATTCAAAGTCAACTAATAACTTTCCCCCACAATTATTCCATATTCGGCTACAACTTCCAAAGCAATCTTTGTTTGATATCATATTCTGACAAGAGTCCCGATTTAACATGCTGACAATACTGGCTCCTTTTAGCTCGTGGTTGGTATCATGCCTAACACAAGTTAAAGTTTACTGACACTAGAAAATCATATCTTACTCGCTGATTCAAGTGGCCCCTAGTGCATTGTCTAATAAAGCTCATCGGTCAAGGTTACACTACTTAGAGAAACATTTTCTATCTTTTCGATTGAGAGAATTGAAACTGAGATGTTATGGGTGATTGCAGAATTACTATTTATTGTCTTTTCTTTTGCAGAAGACTAAGGAACAAGAGGCTGGAGAAACAGAAAATCAAGCTATCAAATCTGCTAAAAAGAGAGGAAGACAACGCAAATCCTGTGAAAGTTCAGGCTCTTCATTGGATAACATTAAAAGAGAGAGACATTGTTTGAGCGACAAACATGACAATCGAAAGGAGTTGAGTCCTCATGTTGAGAAATCGCCTTATTTCGGAAGTTCGAATATGGAGAAAGAGGATTACATTTCTAATTGTGATAAAACAGTTGAAGTTATTCCAAATGGAGATGATAAGGTAATTCAACTTCCCAAGCAATCTTTGTTTGATATCATATTCTGACAAGAATCGGGATTTAACATGCTGACAATACTGGCTCTTTTTAGCTTGTGGTTGGTATCATGCCTAACACAAGTTAAAGTTTATTGACACTAGAAAATCATATCTTACTCGCTGATTCAAGTGGCCCCTAGTGCATTGTCAAATAAAGCTCATTGGTCAAGGTTACACTACATAGAAAGAGAAACATTTTCTATGTTTTCAATTGAGAGAATTGAAACGGAGATGTCATGGGTGATTGCAGAATTACTATGCATTGTCTTTTCTTTTGCAGAAGACTAAGGAACAAGAGGCTGGAGAAACAGAAAATCAAGCTATCAAATCTGCTAAAAAGAGAGAGAGATCGCAAATATCTGAACTTTTTGTCTCATGTCCCAGAAAACGTAGAAAGGGTTGCCCATCAAGATCAAATTGTGAAGATCTGCAACCCTCATCTAGGTGCATAAATGATTCCTGATTATTTTGTGTATGTTTATTTTCGGTACTTACATAAATAAACGGTCTTTGCTATGATTTGTGCTTTGCAGTGGGAACTTCAACGAAAATAGCTGATACAAAAAACTCTGAAGCAATGATAAAAGAGCTTGAAGTTTGTGACATGTCAGGGGATTCTGAAGGAGTAAAGGGAACACAGGTTGAGAATTCTTTCCAGTCTCCTATAGAGGTAAATTTCAAGTTCACATGAGGTTTACCCATACATTTGTCTAGAACCTAATTAAGTATACAACTAGGCTGGGAAAAAAGTATCTCTAGGGGTGAATTATGTGTTTATGAGCATGCACGCATAAATAGTAAAGGATAAAATTGAAAAGGAAGTTAAAGAGTTAGGTGTCGAATCTAAGAATCTACTTGTACCAGTTTTGTTGGATATTCGTGGTGTAAGATATTGGTAATTCAGATGTGATCTTGTCACTGTTTGTCATTGAGGGAGACAGGACTTGCTTATGTCTTGCTTTACAAGTTGTAAATCTGCGAAACGTGATTCTTTTTTTTTTTTTTTTTTTTTTTTTTTTTTTTTTTTTTTTTTTCTTTTAAGTTTATGACTTAGACAGGGGGGGGGGGGATGTAAACCGGGGGGGGGGGGGATGAGAAAACAATGCCAAGATTCGATTGTTCTTTAGATTTTTTTTTTTTAATGAGACATAGAACTCTTTCTGTAGAAAAATGATAGGAACTTGTTAGTTGGTTGGTTAGAGAAGTTAGTAGTTTGTTAGAATTGGGTTAGCAATTGGTTAGAGTAAGTAGTATAAATAAATGGTTTAGTAAGTAGTTCTTTTGTAATTCTTCAATTCACATCAATAAAGATTCATTCTTTGATTCACTTCACTGTGCTTGAGTTAGATACTTATCATTTTGGTATCAGAGCATATTTTTCTGGCTATGGCTGAGGAGGAATTTGACGGAAGGTTGGACGAGTTAAAGAAAGGAATCGAAGAAGTTCGTGAATCGGTGATGAAGGGAATTGGGGGAGTTAGAGAAGTTAGGGAAGCTTTTGCCCAGATTCAAAAGATGATGGAAGAAAGGTGATTCTTTTCAGCGTTAGAAAGAGGGAAATCATCTTTGGGGGTGGTCAAAGAAGGAACCTCGTCGCCTTAATGGGGAATCGCGGCGGAGCAACGTCAGAAATCACCGACGGTAGAGACGCAACCTGATTGAAGAGTCGATCTTAAAGATCCTTTGCTGGGTCTGTTGATACTGGAGAAGTGCGGCGGTTAGACGACTATACCAGAAGATTCGCACAGAGTTAGAGCGGAATCGAGTGTCGACGGGTTGGGTTTCGCGATTTCGGTCCGATTGGTTCCAATCCCCACGCGATTAGGGCTGGAGTTCAAAACTCCGGCGAGATAGGGTCCGATTTCAGCGATTTGGGGGCTGGGTCTCGGGATTTTAGGGTTGGATGTTGGAACTAAGCGTCATTAGGGGCTGATTTTGGAACGATTTGGACTGAGTCTTGGTCTGCCGGCATTTCTAGGGCTGGGTCAGGATTTTCAGTGCAAACTCCGGTGAGATTTGGGCTGGGTATTACGGAGGAAAAACCAGAAAATGAGAAATGAATTTTCCTGTATTGAATAATATGAGAATGATACAAGCTTAGCCTTTTATATACAAGCCTTAGGCTAAATAACCATACTATAACAGAATGTGTAACGACTAACAATATCTAAAACTCCCCCTCAAGATGGACTGTAAATGTCTTTTATAGCCATCTTGGACAACAAGGAAAACAAAGAATTGGCTGGCAAAGCCTTGGTAAACATATCAGCCAATTGATGTTGAGACCTAATAGGCATAAGCTTGACAAATCCAGCAACAACTTTGTCACGAATAAAATGACAATCTATCTCAATATGCTTCGTTCGTTCATGAAAAATAGGATTCGAAGCAATATGTATGGCAGCTTGACTATCACAAAATAGAAGCGTTCGAAGGGAAATAGGAACACCAAAGTCTCTTAATAATTGTTGAATCCATACTAGCTCACTAGTAGCGGTAGCCAAAGCTTGGTACTCCGCTTCAGCAGAAGAGCGAGATACTGTGGATTGTTTCTTAGCTTTCCAAGATATTAAAGATTCACCAAGGAAAACACAAAACCCAGTAATGGACTTTTTGGAATCTGAACATGCTGCCCAGTCAGCATCGGAGAAGGCTCGAAGCTGCAAAGAGGAAGTGGAGTTAAAAAACAAACCTTGCCCAGGCCTGGATTTAAGGTATCTGAGAAGGTAATGAACGACCTGCAGGTGAGGCAGATGAGGAGCAGCTACAAACTGACTGAGCTTATGAACCGCATAGGTGATGTCCGGTCTGGATAAGGTGAGGTAAAGCAGCCGGCCTATAAGACGTCTGTACTGAGAAGCTTCGGGAAGAAGATCACCGTCTGTAGCATTAAGGTGAAGTTTAGGATCCATAGGAACTGAGACTGGTTTGGAAGCCAAAAATCCAGTGTCTTCAAGAAGTTGCAATGTGTAATGTCTCTGAGATAAAACAATTCCAGAGGAGGAACGAGCAATCTCAAGACCAAGGAAATACTTCAAACTTCCAAGATCTTTCAACTTGAACTGCGTGTGTAGAAAAAGCTTCAACTGTTGAACGGCATCAAGTGAAGGGCTTGTAATGACTATGTCATCCACGTACACCAGTAAAGCAACAAAGGTTGTACCCGAGCCTTTGGTAAAAAGAGAATAATCAGACTTAGATTGGGTAAAACCAAAATTAATCAAGGCAAGAGAAAACTTGGAGTACCATTGACGTGAAGCCTGTTTAAGGCCATATATGGACTTATGCAACCTGCAAACCAACCTGTCAGTAGAATTCAAAGACTCCCCCTTTTTAACATAACCGAGGGGAAGGTCCATGTATACCTCTTCGGATAAATCGCCATTCAAAAATGCATTGTTGACATCCAACTGAGCTAAATGCCATTTTTGGTTGGAAGCCAAAGCTAAAAGGAGCTTGACAGTAACAAGTTTTGCAACTGGCGAAAAAGTGTCGATGAAATCAACACCCTCTTGCTGATTATAGCCTTTAGCAACTAAACGAGCTTTATAGCGCTCGATAGAGCCATCCGATTTGTATTTGATCTTATACACCCATTTACAACCAATAGAATGCTTACCCGGTGGAAGAGAAACAACTGACCAGGTTTGATTGGATTCCATGGCAGCAAGCTCAAGTTGCATAGCCTGGCGCCAATGCTGGAAGGGAATAGCCTGATGATAAAACTGAGGCTCCACGTGGGAAGAAACACTCATGACAAAGGTTTTATGTGGGGAAGAAAGAGAGTCATAGGAAAGATGATTGGACAAAGGGTATAAGGCAGTGGAATCAAGGACTTGTGGTTGAGAATGGAGAAGGTTGCAGTGATACTCTTGTAGATAAGATGGGAATCTAGTGACCCGGGAAGACCTCCTAACAGGCGGTGTGGAGTTACAATCAGAAGTGGAAGATTGGGAGAAGCTAGGAGACAAGGATGTAGAAGCTGGAAAATCAGGGGCTGGAGAAGGTAGAACTAGTTTAGGAAATGGATCTACCACCTGAGTAGCATGAGTCACGGAATGAAATGGAAAAGTGGATTCATGAAAAATGACATCTCTGGAAACAAAAAACTGCTTGGTTTGAATATCATAGAGCTTGTATCCCTTTACACCAGAAGGGTATCCAACAAAAACACAAGTACGAGCTCGAGGATCAAACTTGGTACGATGAGCAGATAGAGTGGATGCAAACGCAAGACAACCAAAAAATCTGAGAGATGAGTATTCAACAGCATCTTTATACAACAATTCATAAGGAGATTTATGTCCAAGAAGTGGGGAAGGGGTTCTGTTGATTAAGTAAGTGGCAGTAAGAACACATTCACTCCAAAAATTTTATGGAACTCGAGATTGAAAAACAGGGCACGAGCAACATTCAAAAGGTGCTGATGTTTTCTTTCAACTACTGAGTTCTGTTGTGGTGTATCAACACAAGAATATTGATGTAAAACCCCTTGACTACTGAAAAATGCATTGAAATCCAACTCTTTTGCAGTATCAGACCGGAAACTCTTGATTTTACTACGAAACTGAGTGTCAATCATAGTAAAAAACTTGGGAATAGCTGTGGCAACATCAGATTTTTGTCTCATCATAAAAACCCAGGTAAATCTAGTGCAATCATCCACAATAGTCAAAAAATATCTATAGCCAAAACAGGCAGACACATGATAAGGACACCATACATCACAATGAATCAGATCAAAGGGAGATGAAGACATACGATTATTAGAGATAAAGGGCAACCGTCTTTGTTTAGTTAAAGGACAAATGTAACAAATGTCATTGGAATTACACTTGGAAAAATCGCATTTCAGCTGAGATTTCAACGAGTGTAATATGCTAGAAGAAAGATGCCCAAGTCTATTATGCCAAACAGTGGCTGAGACCTTATTAACAATTGCTAAAACACTGGAATCTGAAATTGAAACATTCCTTATGTTCGATGAATTTGCCAAACATCCAGCACTCAAATTCCTGGCATCCAGAACATATAAGTCTGCAAATTGATCACCCCTGCCAATCATCTTCTGGCTGTTGGGATCCTGAATTATGAAGTAACCAGGAAAGAAGCTAATGGTAAGAGATGAATCGGCAGTAAGTGCACTGACAGAAAGCAGATTGAAGTGGAATTGAGGGACAAACAGAACATCTTTGAGAAGCAAAGAATTCAATTTAACATCCCCAGACAATCGAACAGGAATAACGATCTTATTAGGCAAAGTAACAGAGGAATTCTGTATGGGCTTCAAAGAGATAAACAAGTTGGCATTTGAACAAATATGCTTAGAAGCACCGGAATCCACTATCCAAAAATGCACAGAAGACAAAACAGAATGCATAGAAACAGAAGAGCATATACCTGCTGTGTATGAAACGGAAGAAATGTCCTGTGCATCAGAAGTCTTGACAGAAGACATGAGATGAGTGGAGAGCATCGTCATGAGATGCTGATACCGGTCACCATTCAAACTTTTGAGAAACCCATCCACTTGTGCATCTGAACCAGGATGAGCAGAAACTTGATGCACATTTGTAGTTGTAAATCTTGGCTTTGGTTTATATCCAAGTGGAAAGCCATGAAGCTTATAACACTTCTCAATAGTGTGACCATGAAAATTGCAGTGAGTGCAAAATGGTCTTTCTTTTTGTTGACCTCTGCCATTGCCATAGTTCTGAACATCAGAAGGAGAACGCTTAGGAGCAGCAGTTCGAAGTGCAAAAGCCATATTCTGACTAACAGAATCAACTCCCCCTGAATTAATACTCCTTTGGCGTTCTTCTTGAGACACCAGAGAAAAAACTTTATTGATAGGTGGAAGAGGATCTAAGAGAAGAATTTGGCCTTTGGTATGGGCAAAGGAATCATTCAAACCCATAAGAAACGACATCACATACTCCATCTGAAAGAAGTTGACCAAATCTTTAACTCCTCCACAAGAACACTTGCCACAAGTACAGGCGGGGCTGAAATTAGACAACTCCTCCCATAAAGCTTTCAATTTTGTAAAATAGACATTAACAGATTGTTGATTCTGGACTAGATTAATCAATTCTTGACGCAATTGAAAAATCCGAGGACCATTGCTCTGTCGGAAGCGATCTTGAAGATCGTTCCAAATTTCAAACGCAGAATCGGAAAATAGAATACTTGCAGAAATTTCTTTCGAAACAGAATTCAAGATCCAGGATATGAGAATATTATTATTGCGAATCCAAGCCAGGAGGAGATTCGAGTCCGTACCATCAGGTCGTGGAACAGATCCATTAATGAATCCGAGCTTGTTCTTCACGGATAGGGCAATCGTCATCGCACGGCTCCAAGAGTCGTAATTATCGCCGGTGAGTTGTTGCGAGACAAGAAGAAGACCTGGACTGTCGGAATGATGAAGGAAGAAAGGACTGAGAGGATCATCAATGGCCGATCTACCAGTAGATGAATTTGTCGAGGCGGAATTTTGAGACTCCATGATCGATGAAATAAGATCTTGAACGGAAGGAACACGAACAAGAAAATGGCTGAAATCAAAAGAAATCCAGAAGAATCAAAATGAGAACGAGCAGCAGAAATTCGCGTGCTCTGATACCATATTACGGAGGAAAAACCAGAAAATGGGAAATGAATTTTCCTGTATTGAATAATATGAGAATGATACAAGCTTAGCCTTTTATATACAAGCCTTAGGCTAAATAACCATACTATAACAGAATGTGTAACAACTAACAATATCTAAAACTGGGTTCCGAAATTCCGGCCGGATTTAGATTGGGTGCCGTGATTCTGGCGCGATTGGGGCTGATATCCACGCAATTGGGGCTGGACTTCCTAATTCCAGCAAGATTGAGGCTAATTTTGGTACAATTGGAGTTTGCCCTCAAAATTACAGTAAGATTACTGCTGGTTATGGTACGATTAAGGCTGGATCAGGAGAAATGGGTGCAATTGGAGTGGGGCCTGGAAATTTCAGTGAGTTTGGGGCTGGGTATGCAGAAATTGGTGTGCTTGGAGTTCAAATTAGGAAGTCTGCAAATGGCAGACTTGAAATTGGTGGGTTTATAACACCAAAACCCAACGTTTCTCTTAGTGGGAAATTTGGGGAGACCCTTGGGGTGCTTGAGTTAGATACTTATCAAAAAATAAACATTTGTTTGTTTGATAAGTAATCTATACATTGTTCACATCACAAACGTCATGGCAAAGATGTCTGGATTAAAAAAAGAAAACCATTGCTCAATTTCAAAGTTTACTTCAGTTATCATCCTCTGCATTTGTGATAGGCTGATTGTTATGTTTTTGGCAAGTCTTAGGAGGGTGAATGCTATGAGGGGCAAAAATGAGCAGAGTAAGGGGGCTGGGGTCTTAAAGTAATTTGAATAATTAGTGGTTATTGTGTGTGTGTCGAGGGGCAGAGAGGAGAATTAGGGAGGTTATTAGTGTTTGGCTAGGGAGAGTTATTCATTATGTTGAATGTTGAATTGTGTCTGTTAGGTCTAGTGAATTAGGGGAGCTGGTGGTCTCTTAAATATCACTAAGTTAGGAGTTCTCCGGAGTTATAGGGTACTCCAGTCTATCTAATTCGTTTTCTTTAATTTCTCTAGCCGGTTTTGGTTTGTATGAGCTGGTGTTGAAGTAAATTTCAATAAAAACTCTTATGTTGCATAAAATCTGGTGTTGGCTGCTTGGTGTGTGTGTGTGTGTGAGTGTTTGGCTGTTTGGTTGAGGAAAATTATCAGGTTCCTATCATATTATGAGATATTTCTTCCTGACAAGTGGGTTTGACGTCGGAAATATATAACGGGCACAGCAACCACATTGGTTCCTTGGTTTATTCATTGATGCTTGTTCTGCGTATTCTTACTGTGCTTCAAAATTAATTGGGACTTTCATGATTACCTTAGCCATAGTTCGTTTAGGCTTTCTCTTCAATTACGTGAAGAAGACTCTAGTAGGCATATTGAGAAAACTCTATCCCTTTTAACAGTTTTAGATAAACTGTGAAAACTAGTTTATAGTTATTATTATGGTGACTCGTTCTATAGTAATTTATTTTCCCTACATGTTGATCCCAGATTTCACTGTTACTGATAATTGTGTTGGTTCTTTATTGCTTTTTGGAGAATGGACAAAAGGGTGATGCTGAAACAAGCAGCGAAATAAAGGGGAATGGAGAACATCCTGAACACCCTAAACTACCAGTCGCAGACTTGCAAACCGCGAGAGCAGGTATTTGCTTGATATAGCACCATTATCTGTTGACTCAAAGATCTTGTTAATTAATTAATCTCTGCCAACATTTGTAGGCGAAGAACTTAGTGCAGCTGGTGGTGTTTTTGCAGATTGTGCAACTGAAAAATCTGAATTACCTGTGACCACAGAGGTTATTTTAACAGGTATAAGAACGCTAGAAAATTTTTTCAGCATCTGGCAACTTTTGATCCTTCCTAAAGGTCATGTGAATGGAACCTTCTGAATGAGCCGCATGATGGAACTAATAAGGGAAATTATTAAGAGCACATGTTAGAGTGATACAAGTTGTCTAGTAGAAGAAAGAATCACAAGGGTGCAGTTGTTACACGTTCTTGCTGGGATGGAGAATTTTCCCCCTTGCTCTGCTTGTTTGAAATTGGAGTCTTTTCTGATTTTATTTTATTTAATCTTATTTTGTTGTTGTTGTTGTTGTTGTGAAGATACACTAGAAGAAGGAACAACTCTAGTCTTTCCAAAGCCTATGAAAATTTCCTCTGATGATCAAGCTTCATTAATGCACATTGTGGAAACACATGCTCCAACAAATGTAAGCGAGTCAGGTAAAGTTTAAGTACGAAAAAAAATCAGTGGAATATGTGGCCATAGTTTTCTAGCTAGATTACCACCATTATTCCTAGGGTATTTGACCTTTTTCCCCCTTGACTTTTAATTTTGGAAAATTACCCTTTGTTTTAATGAAGCGTTGTAGAGTGTTTCAAATTGATGATGGCTATTAGATGAAAATGCTCTCGTGCACATCCTCGAGCTCATTTGAAGGGCATAAATTGATGATTCAAATGATGACCGAGCACGCCATGTTGCGTTCATGAGAACGTTTTTGTCTAAATTTTAGTAGCCATCATTAATTTGGGGCACTCTGCAATACTTTATTAAATTTAGAGAGTAATTTGCCAAATTAGAAGTTCAGAGGGAAATTTGTCAAATTAATGAAAAGTTTATTGAACGAAAGCGCCAAAAATCCATATTATTAATAGCTATTTTGTTAGTAATAGTTGGAACTACTTTAACAGGTAATATTGGGAGAACAAATGTGCAAAATTTTCCTTTTGTGAAAAGCTGTCCAATTTGGGAAATAATTGAATCGATGGAAGTCTTCAAAAAACTGCCACAAAATCCCAATTTTCAACCCTTAATGAAGTGTAAAGCGTTGAAACGAGAAGGAGCAGCTATTGCACACATGATGAACTTTGCCTATGTGGTCGAAAAGATTTCCAAGCTCCAAGAAAATGATTCTAGACAAGACTTGGAGAGTATAATGGAAGAACTGGCTGAACTGGAAGAGATGGGATTTGATGTCAAGGTCATTTGGGGTCGTGTTACTGAGTTGGTTCAGGTTAAAGTTGAGTTGGAAAAACTTATGCACAAATCGAATGGAGTCGAAACTCGGATCGAAAAATGCAGCATTGAGAAGACCGAGATTGATGGAGAGGTTGCTGATATTGACAAGGAGCTGAAGAGATTAGAGGAAAAACGGGCAAAGCTAATGTCGGAAAGGATGGACAAAGATTCCGAAGAGTTTAAGTTGATTTCAGAAGCCAATGATATCAACATAGGCATTTCAACAACAAGGGAAAGATTCAGAAGCCTAGTTGTGACACCTTTTGGTGCTTGACCATTGAGTTTAACATGCACATATTTGTCTTCATACAGTGAAGAATTTCATCTTTGGGTGTTTTGAGGTTCTATATACATATATTTTGCACTTTTGTCCCGGAGTAGACAACATAACCTACCGCTAGTACATGTAATCATGAAATCTCAAACTGGTTAATACATTTTGCTACTTAAATCGGTTTATCCATTTCCATTCCCACTTTCTTTTATGCTTAATTCTGGCTATGTTTCAATCTTGTTTTTCCCCTTCTATTGTGAGTTGCAATTACGGATTATGTAAATCCTAATATGATGAACAACGAAAAAGTGTAGAAGTTACAAAAAAAAAAAAAAAAGTGGAAGAAATATATACAACCGTGTTAAACATTGGCGATCCCAACTTCAAGAAATGTGGTAGAACATAACAATGCCAGATATCCAGTGCTTGTGATCAGATGCCAATAACAAAATCAAGGGGTATCAAAACCTATTACATATTCTTAGTCGAGAAAAAAAAAAGGAAGGAAAAGAATGAGAACTTTTCATAAGTAAATTAGTTCAATCTGACCATCCATGTCACAAGTAAAAACAAAGGCAGGTAGCTTAATTTGCAACCTATTTGCTGATTTTGAAGCCATATATTCTTGGGACGTAGTTTTCATTTGCCTTCTCTGGCCTGAGGTGCGGATTGTTCATAAAGAACAGATGAGGAAACGTGGTTCCAAAATATGCTCCATCAATGTCTAGTACCAAGTTAAATGAAAGTGTGGTTCTAAAACAATAAATAAACGGCTCCGCGGAGGCACAACTCCGTTAAAATAAAGTGGTGTGTGGGGTCCACCTGTGTGTGTTGAGGAGTAGCAGCTCCGCGGAGCTGCATAGCAATGTTCTTAATCAACTCCCTTCGATTAAATGCAACTACAAATATAAGGATACTCTCTTGGTGCTTGGATTCTGGTGCATATATATCTTCACATTTGGGGCAGTAGATTTTCACAGTTCTTGACCGTGGGGTGTCTGACTCGCCAACAGGTAGGCACCTTTGTTTATTGCAGTGAAATCTTGGGCATGTACCAAAGTCATAGCTCCTGTATTTCTCCAGCTGAAAACAAGTTTTATATATGCATATCCTAGTTTTATGAGATTATGCCTGTAAAAAAGAGAGAATTTCTACTGGTTTCTGTTTCGCAACGTGTATTAAAAGTTTTTCAAGTTTTTCATACTTTTTTATTTTGATGGGTTTTTTACTAGATTCAGCATTTTAAAACATGCATGACTATTAGGATATCGTATACTAAGAAGCTCAAAAAAGGTTAAATTCCTCACCATTGCAGCCATCCCTTGGCTTGTCAATATGTATCTAGCATGAATAAGACCATAAAGCATCTCGGCCGCCCATTCAACCAGATCATTCTGCTCATCAGTGAACTCATCTGTACAATCACCATATAATAGATTGATCATAGAGAGAAAAGGTAATCATATTGAAAAAAAAAAAAAAAAAAAACACAGTAAGCACATATAATGGGAAATTATGAAAATACAATGGTTAAGAGATTCTTTGTAGATAGGGTGTTACTATTTTCCCATAATCTACAAAGAATTCCCTTAAAATTGAATTAAACTTGATCAAAGAATTAGTCCTGGCAGATTAATTAGAAGTAAGCATATGGTAGTTACCATGAGAAGATTCAACGTCCAAAATCAAATCAAGAGCATAATCATAGCAAGGTACTTGACTGCTTAAGCCAGAAAGGTTGGAGTCATCAAGGAGGTAGCCATCATCAACTTGACAAAAGAATTCATTTCCCTTCTGATTGCATAGCCATGTTACCCAACTCACTTCTTCATCCTCGTCTTCGTCGTCGCGATCTCCATCCGAAACCTCCAAATTTTTGCTGCTTCTTTCTGATTCCTCTGCAATTAATTAGTGAACATTCAAGATCATACACCATCAATATAGAATTGGTGAATTATATCCTCGCTCCAATCTCTCTTATTTTAATATGATTTAGTTTTTTATGATTTTAACTTGGTTTCAGTAATGGAACAAAAAATAGATACCAAATAAATAAAAACAGGAAATTAATGATTATTGTTGTTATTTTTAATATTGAAAATCCCCCAACGAGAACTGATCGTCTACACTTGAAAAAGTAAAAAAAAAAAAAAATGATATATACATAGAATGATGCATATCATGTAAAAGCCAAATAATAACATATATGCATTCAACTGAATCAGATTAACGTGAATATATCCATCATGTATTACCAGCATATATACAATATATATTGTGTGTTTGTGTGTGTGTGTGTGTGTGTGTGTGTGTATATGTCTATATAAAGACGACAAGTATACTATACATATAATATTGAACATGGCAGAAGAACTGGCCTTCGTAGGTTGTGTCATTAACGTCCTTGGTGGGAGAAGACGTGGAGGGAACTGAATCGCTGATCATGGTTGAATAGAATTCGATCTGATTAACAAGGTCTGGCTTTTTTTTTAATTATTCAGTATTTCGTACTCTAACTAATAAGTAGTGTTGATCAACACCATGTAAAGAAAAATTAAGCTTCAATTGACGCTGCACTGAGATATTGATCATAGAAAATAGCACTGAAATGAAAAAAAAAATGTAGAATAGAAGTTAATCAGATGATGTTAATTTGTGGGATTTTATTCATTTATTTATTTCCTTCTTTTATGGAGAGAGATTGAGGCAAATTAATCCACTTCTTACGGTATTCAGATCAGAGATTTATTCAAGACTTCCACATGTATCCTCAAAACAAACTAAATTATCTTGTTATTTTTCGTTTTTGAAATTTGAAAATTAGTTTATCTTATTTTTTGGGAATAATGAAACTTCTTTTTTAAAATTTTTTTTTTTTGTTTTGAATATTTTTTTTTCTTCTAAACTAAAGAAAGCTTAAAAAGAATACAAAAGAACTAGTGAATCTTCTCTTTTCTCCTAATTCTAAATGTAGACATAATATCGTAACACATTAATTATTGTATTTTGTCTTCGGATTTTTAGTAGTTTTTTTTTCTTTTTAATAAAGAAAGAAATAAAAACTTGTGTGCGCATGTGTTTCTATATACGTACAATCACTACATTTTCAAATGATTTCGTTTACGACCAAATTTTGTGAAGCACAAAAGTTACATAAAAAATTCCATAAAAAAATTACAAAAGAAATAAAAACAAATTAAGCAAAGAAAAAAAGAATAATTTCGCACCTAACTCCATCGCTGAAGGTGAATAGAGTTTAAGGGCCCGTTTAGTTCACTGATTCGAGTTTTTAATTCGAGTTAAGATGTGGCTTTATGTGAGAGCTTTATAAAGTAGCAAAAAAGTATGTGACTGTTTCTGAGAGCTTTTTACTGTAGGCAAAACTCGAATTTTAATATTGAATCGGTAAAATGAACGCGGCCTAAATTTTCCCAGTTCAAATTCATTAAGGGCGTGTTCATTTATACAACTCAAGTCATGACTTGAGTTGTGTATGTGAGAGAAAAATACTATAGTAAAATATTGAATTTAAATTTTTTGTGAGAGAAAACACTGTAGCAATATGACTTGAGTTATGAAATGAACAAGACCTAAAAAAAATAAAACAAAAAAAAGCATGTAGGGCCCGTTTGTTTCATATACTCAAACTCAAATTATTGATTATATTACAGATTTTTTCTCTAACAAAAAATTTGAATCTCAAATGTTAGAATTAAAAATCATAATTTGAGTATACGTTCCAAATGACACCGTAATTTTGCATCAAAATTTGATGGTGTATCACTATGAAATAAGGTTTATCATGGATGCATATTAACCTAACAAGAATTTTATACCAATACAGACTCGAGGTATTGTGTTCAAATTCATCCTTAATTAAAAAGTCTGAATGTTTCAATACAAAAGCATTTGCAGCTCTATTAGTATGTTGTGGCCTAAATGAATGACATGTCGTTTTCTTAGGAAAGCCTTTAGTCGCTATCGTAATAGCGGTTTTGCTTAAATTTTATTGCCCTTCGACGTGAAGTTCGTCTTTGTTTTAAAAAAAAAGGAATGTCGTGTATTAATTATTTTAAATGGTGTCTTGTTGTCCAATATAAAAACGACATACCGTTTTAACGCAAATTTACTATAATACTCAAGTAAACTTGCTGTAACTTCTTCATTTAATAAACATGACGACACGTCGTTGTATTTTAAATACTTTCACTTACTCAAAGTTCGTAAATAATTGCAAGAAATTAATAGAAACAAATAAATGAAATTCTTTTAAAAGAATAAGAAGAATAAGAAAACATCATGTTGTCACTCTTGAATTTTTAGATTTTAGTAAAATTTATTTTCTATTTTTGGATACTAAACTTTCATCCATCACATTTAACATTGTTGTTTAATATGATCATTGAATTTGTTATGTGGGAAAATATGCGTTGCCACGTCAGAGACGGCCGACCCTTTCAAGGAGGAGAGGCATCTAAACAGCCGACCCTTCTAAGGAGGAGAGGCCTCCAGACGGCCGACCCCTCCAAGGAGGAGAGGCCTCCAGACGGCCGACCCCTCCAAGGAGGAGAGGTCTCCATGAAGAAGGTTCTTAAACCTGCCAAGAGCCCCAAGGAGCATCCATGAGGCCGACCCCTCTAAGGAGGAGAGGCCTCCATGAAGAAGGTTCTTAAACCCGCCAAGAGCCCCAAGGGGCATCCATGAGGCCGACCCCTCCAAGGAGGAGAGGCCTCCATGAAGAAGGTTCTTAAACCTGCCAAGAGCCCCAAGGGGCATCTATGAGGCCAACCTTTCTAAGGAGGAGAGGCATTCAGACGGCCGACCCTTCCAAGGAGGAGAGGCCTCCAGACGGCCGACCCTTCCAAGGAGGAGAGGCCTCATAGGAAGCCGATCGCATAAACATGGGTCCACATCTCCAGAAAGGCCCCTGAGTGGACAAAGGAGTTACGTCTAGGTTTGAAGAATGTTAGTAATGCATGCATTAATTACAAGCCCATAAACCACCCTTTAATGGATGGTGGATGATTAAAGGGGGATGTGCATAGCCGCAATAATGGACAAATTGGATGAGTGAACAGTGAAAAAAGTGGTGACAGGCTATGGGTCTGGGCTCATAGGCTAGTAGGCCACTCAAGTGGATGAGCCTACCAAGAAAAACCACCCATGAAGTAATTTCTAGGCTATAAAAGGGGCAATGCCCCGAATGAAAGAGGAGAGGATTTTTGGCTATTTTTCATATGTAATTAGATAATAGAAAGCTGATTCTATGTAATCCAAAAAGAGCCCAAAGGAAATACAATACACAAGTGGATGTAGCTCTTCATTAACAGAGTGAACCACTATAAATTTTGGGTGTCCTCTCATTCAAGCATTATTCTCATGCTTCCAAAAATATAACAAACACTTCATAGCATAATTTTAAATATACATCTAATTTCTAGCTGGTAACCTCACGGGATACCAGAGGGTGATCCGGCGTATTTCTGTTGGCAAAGTTTCACCATCAACAATTGGCGATTCCACTGGGGATCGAACCCAGAATCTCTGGTTCATACGTTTGACCCCCGACAACAAAGAAGTAGTCAGCAACCATGCCTCCAAGAAAAAGATATGTTACCATCAATCAAGGCAGCCAGATGGAGGAAACCACCACATATCCGGTGAATGACGGGAGTGGCAAAAACCAACCCCCGATAAGAAACAAAGATCCACCCCCTGGGGTTCCACAACTTGACCCGGTGCATATGCAGGCCCAGCTCAACACTTTGACCGACTTGGTGCGGGGACTAATGACTGTGGTCGAGCAATTGGATGGGTGAAACTCGATGCCGCCTCTGGAAGACGCCCCGAGACCACTGGGAGCTACCGTGGCTAGAAACCAGAATCCTGGTGACCGCCAGGATACCCCATAAGGAATCGGGGACAGTAAAAATAGAGGCAATCCGAGGCCTCGACCGTCCCAATCTCTTGGCAGCCGTCAAAGAGCCACCAGGTGCCGAGCCCGGGAAAACAAAGCAAAAAGAGGACAGCCGAACCTCGAAACGCCACCACAAAACCCAGGTAGAAATATCCCTGGAGATTCAGGGTCAGTGCAAGAGGGTGGAGATTCAAGGGGTGTCCGAACAGCTAACTCCTCCAAGCAGGATTCAACCAAAGATTCATTATAGTAGGAAATAAATTGGCAGGCAAAAAGAGGCGCTAAAGAAAAATCCCAACCTAGCTCGAGGCAGTTTAAAGGAAAGCCTCGACCTGGGGGGCAGATGTTGTGTGGGAAAATATATGCTTCCATATCAGAAATGACCGACCCTTCCAAGGAGGAGGGGCATCCAGACGGCCGACCCCTCTAAGGAGGAGAGGCCTCCAGACGGCCGACCCCTCCAAGGAGGAGAGGCCTCCATGAAGAAGGTTTTTAAACCTGCTAAGCGCCCCAAGGGGCATCCATGAGGCCGACCCCTCCAAGGAGGAGAGGCCTCCATGAAGAAAGTTCTTAAACCTGCCAAGAGCCCCAAGGGGCATCCATGAGGCCGCCCCCTCCAAGGAGGAGAGGCCTCCATGAAGAAGATTCTTAAATCTACCAAGAGCCCCAAGGGGCATCCATGAAAGGAGATGCCTCCATGAAGAAGGTTCTTAAACCTGCCAAGAGCTCCAAGGGGTATCCATGAGGCCGCCCCCTCCAAGGAGGAGAAGCCTCCATGAAGAAGGTTCTGTCAAGAGCCCCAAGAGGCATCCATGAGGCTGACCCCTCCAAGGAGGAGAGGCCTCCATGAAGAAGGTTCTTAAACCTGCCAAGAGCCCCAATGGGCATCCATGAGGCCGACCCTTCCAAGGAGGAGAGGCCTCCAGACGGCCGATCCTTCCAAGGAGGAGAGGCCTTATAGGAAGCCGACCGTATAAGCATGGGTCCACATCTCCAGAAAGGGCCCTGAGTGGACAAAGGAGTTACATTTGGGTTTGAAGAATGTTAGTAATGCAGGCATTAATTACAAGTCCATAAACCATCCTTTAATGGACGGTGGATGATTAAAGGGGGATGTGCATAGCCGCAATATGGGACAAATTGGATGAGTGAACAGTGAAAAAGGTGGTGACAGGCTATGGGTCTGGGCTCATAGGCTAGTAGGCCACTCAAATGGATGAGCCTACCAAGAAAAACCACCTATGAAGTAATCTCTAGGCTATAAAAGGGGCAAGGCCCCGAATGAAGGAGGAGAGGATTTTCCTTGGAGTTCGGCTCATTTTCATATAGAACCCGAGAGTAGAGAGGGAGAGTTATTGTAAAGAATTCAAAAGAAATACAAAGAAAAGTGGATGTAGCTCTTCATTAATAGAGTGAACCACTATAAACCTTGTGCCTTTATTTTCATACAAGCACAGTCCTCCCATTATATTTACCATAAACTTCATACACGCTTTACTACATCATTTTCAATATCAAATAAACGCTTTTTAGCCAGTAACCTGACAGGATACCTAAAGGTGACCCGGCGTAATTCTGTTGACGAAATTTCACCATCAACAGAATTCATCCATATTCAGGTTGAAAGTAGGGCTTTTCATACTTCACATTTATTTTTTTGTCTTATTGGTTGTCCCTCCAATTAAATTTTGACACTTCACGAATTATTTAAGTAATTTTTGTATTTAGTTCCTATTCATGTGGTGAGATTGTTAAATTTAGATGATATGTAAAATAAATAGTTGAGAGACAATTAACGTGATAGAAAAATAAGAATAATAGATCTAGATTCCAAACTCATATATATATATATATATTATAAAAAATGGAATGTTTCCATTAGAACAATTTTCTCCCTAGTTTTTTTTTTTTTTTTTTTTTTGCGTGTTCAGTTGGTTAACGAAGGATAACATTGAAACAAAAATTTAAATGTATAATAGAAATAGATTATGTGGGGCAAATTTTAAAGAAATATAAACTACAAAGTTGAAATATGTGACTTTAATATATATATATATATATTGTGATGCTAACAATTTAATATTGTATCGTCGTTCAAAACAAAAGAAAATTTGTAAAGGGTAAATTACACATAATCTTTAAGGGGACGTTTTTTTCTATATTCGTCGTTAATTTTAAATCATGATTCATAATTATTTACAGTATTTTATCTCATAAAAAATATATATAAAATAAAAATAATTTTAAATATGATTATAAATATATAAATCAAACGTCATCTAAATATTTTAATAAGTGACAATTTAATTATTAATTTTTTTTAACAAGATGACTTTTAAACTCTTTAAAAAGTAACAGTTTAATTTTTTGGGTCAAATTTCCTTAAATTTTGAACATAACATATCACTGACTCATCACGTGACATTTTTTCAATAAATGACTTAAATGCCCTCAGAAAAGCCTTCTTTTTTTTTTTCCGAGAAATTTCCCTCTCAGATCTATCAAATCTGATATTGATTTCTATTGATGGGACCATTCGATTTTTCCCAATAATCTTCTCATTTCTAAATTGATGTTCTGTAACTAAAGATGACGCCCATGAATCTGAGACAAGCAGAGACTTCAAAGACTTCAAAGACTTCAAAGAAGAAGTTGATTCTCAACCAATCAAATATTCAGACCCATGATGATTAATCATTCAAGAACATAAATAAACATTGACTGAGCACTATCTAACATTAACTACAAATCACTCAAAAATGGATAAAATCCGTCAAATGCATGAATTTCAAAGCTTTCTCAACTTGAATTTTTTTTGCTTTCAACTTTCCTTAACATTCTCGACTGCCAAACAAGAAGAAGAAAACCCAGATTTCATTACCAAAAAAAAAAAAGAAGACCCAGATCGACGGAGAACAAAACTCAAAACAATGGAGAAGAACAACGGAGCCTTGCGGCGACGGAGATCGACGAGTGGCACAACAGATCTGGTGTTGGGTGGTGGGGCAAATCTATTTTCACATCCGTTTGGTGCCGTGGGAGAGAGCGGCCCAGGGGTGAGGTTTTCCTCCCAAGCGGACTGCCGGCCGATGAGGTTTCCATCGGCAACGGATAAGAAAACTCAGATCTGGATGATCGTTCAAAGATTCCCATTCATGAGTGAAGATCAAAGAAATCTCCAGGAGTGAAGATCGGAGTCAGATTTGGTAGATCTTGAGAGGGAAATTTGGGGAAAAAAAAGAGAGAGAAGAAGAAGACGACTTTTTTAACGGGGGCATTTAAGTTATTTTATTAAAAAAAATTATATGATAGGTCACGTAGTATGCTCTGTTAAAAATTTAACAAAATTTGACCAAAAAAGACTAAATTATCACGTTTTAAAGAGTCTAGGGATCATTTTACAAAAAAAAATTTAAAGATTAAACTGTCGTTTATTAAAGTGTTCAGAGACCATACGGGCAATTTACTCTATTGTAAATACCATGTGTGGCTCATGAGTTAGTTTAAATTCTGTTCATTTTATCGATTTAAATTTATAATTTGAATTTTGTTACAGTAAAATGTTATCATAAACAGTCACATTTAATTTTTTTATTACAATAAAAAATTTTCATATAAAATCACATCAAAACTCAAATCAATAAAATAAACGAGCCTTAAAAACATAACTAGTTATAATCCTTAATTACTTCTCGTTCCAATTATAACCGTTGTCGCAGTTTTACAATTGCATCTTTTTTTCTTTTTTTTTTTCATTATACATTTAAAGGTTTGGCTCTTTATATATATATATATATATATATATATATTCAGTATTTCATACTCTAACTGTTGATCAACACAATGGTAAAGAAAAATTAAGCTTCAATTGACGCTGCACTGAGATATTGATAATAGAAAATAGCACTGAAATTAAAAAAAAATTGTAGAATAGAACTTAATCAGATGATGTTAATTTGTGGGATTTTATTTATTTATTTATTTACTTCTTTTATGGAGATAGATTAAGGCAAATTAATCTACTTCTTACGGTGTTCATATCGAAGATTTATTCGAGGTTTCCACTTGTATATTCAAAACAAACTAAATTATCTTGTTATTTTTTGTTTTTGAAATTTGAAAATCATTTTCTCATATTTTTTGGAATAATGAAATTTCTTCTTCTTCTTCTTTTTAATTTAATTTCTTGGTTTTGAATTTTTTTTTCTTCTAAGCTAAAGAAAGCTTAAAAAGAATATCAGAAACTAGTGAATCTATTTTCTCCTAATTCTAAATGTAGACATAATATCGTACCACGTTAATTCTTGTGTTTTGTCTTCGGTTCTCTTTTTAATTTCTTTCTTTTAATTTTTGTAGTTTTTTTTTCTTTTTAATAAAGAAAGAAATAAAAACTTGTGTGCGCATGTGTTTCTATTTTTAGATTTTAGTAAGATTTATTTTCTATTTTTGGATACTAAACTTTCATCCATCACATTTAACCCAGTTGTTTAATATGATCATTGAAATCATCCGAATTCAGGTTGAAAGTAGGGCTTTTCATACTTCACGCTTGCAAACTCATAAATCAAGATCTGCTATCTCATTTTCTTGTTTTATTGATTGTCCCTCCAATCAAATTTTGACACTTCACGAATTATTTAAGTAATTTTTGTATTTAGTTCCTATTCATGCAGTGAGATTGATAAATTTAGATGATATGTAAAATAAGTAGTGGTGTGATAGTTAACGAGACAGGAAAATGAGAACAATAGATATGCACTCCAAACTCATAGATACATATTATAAAAAATGGAATGTTTCAATTAGAACAATTTTCTCCCTAGTTTTTTTGTTTTGTTTGGGTGATCAGTTGGTTGACAAAGGATAACATTGAAACAAAAATTTAAATGTATAATAGAAATAGATTATGAGGGGCAAATTTTAAAGAAATATAAAACTACAAAGGTGAAATATGTGACCTTAATATATATATATATATATATATATATTGTGATACTAACAATTTAACATTGTATATCGTCGTTCAAAACAGACGAAAACTAAATATTGTACCATGTGTGGCTCATGAGTTAATTTAAAGAACATAACTAGTTATAATCCTTAATTACTTCTTGTTCCAATTATAACCGTTGTCGCAGTTTTACAATTGCATCCTTTTTTTTTTTTTTTTTTTTTTTTTTTTTTTGGGTTTTTACCTTTCAAAAAAAATGACTCTAGGACTGTTGACAATATATATTTAATTGCTACTTTGAATTAGAGTTTATGAATATAGACGTGGTGATCTAGAAAATTAAAGTTCTTTCATTAGCGTTTTTCTATAATTACAATATATATAAAGAAATGATGTTCTTTAGTAATTATTACCAAATTTTATTTATGACTGGTATATGGATTTCCAATTAAAATCTAACTCAAATTAGGTTCACTTGTATGTCAACATCTGAACAAAGGAAATTTTTTTGGCCTTTGGGTTTCTTATAAGTTTAAACTTTTAGTTCTAGTAATAAGGCCATATTAATTTAGACTAATAGTTATATTCAGATTTTGGTAAAAGTGTCCTTTAGTTCCATTAAAGCTCAATAATTAAGCAGTATTAATTGAACTAACTATCCTCACCTATTAACACAATGTCAACAGCTAGCGTTAGTAATTATAGAAGAATATTCCCCATATTTTAGCCTATAAAACAAAATATTAGTACAAATGCAAACAAGATAATATGGAAATAAGCAGCCATGTCATTTTGCTATGCCTTTTGTTCATTGCATCTCTATATGCGTACATTCAGTTCACAAATCCAGAGGGACGTTTTAAGCCATCTTTCAGGCTCCCAAATGATCAAACAATCTCAAACAAGGTAATAATTAGCCATTTACATATTTTATCATTCACACAACCAAATTTAATTTTTTTTCCCTTTTTTGTTAATTAGCGATAATTATGACGAGACTATTTATTATTCTCTTCAAAATTTCATAATGCACAGAGAATGAATAACAAAACCATCAACGAAGATCGTATAGTACTGCTTGAATCAGCTCTATCGAAGGCATCGATGGACAACAAGACTGTAATAATTGCAATTGTGAACAAAGCTTACGTAGAAGGCGATAATGGGAAGCGAATGCTTGACTTGTTTTTGGAGGGTTTTCGGGTTGGAGAAGACACACAGGGCTTGAGCAGTCACCTACTACTTGTTGCCGTCGATCAGACCTCGTTCGAGCGGTGCAAGTTTCTCTGGCTTAATTGCTACAAGCTCGAAACCGATGGTGTTGATTTCACCGGCGAGAAAGTGTACATGTCCCGAGATTTTATCAACATGATGTGGAGGAGAACCCTCTTTCTAGGAGAGGTTCTCAAGCGTGGGTATAGTTTCATTTTTACGGTAATTTAATTAATTGGTAACCCTATTTTTTTTATCATGCAGAAACCTAGTACTTAAAAAGATTTCGATTCCATAAAAGTGATGATTTTATTTTATATATTTTTGTATATAATCAATATATCCTCTCTTTTTATTTTAATTTGTGGGTATAACTAATAAGTTACAAATTGTCTCTGTTTTTTTCTTTTTTTTTTCAAAATACGAAATCTCTTATTTGCAAGCATTTAATTATAGAAATTCTCTAATTTGATTTCTTTTTTCCTTTTAATTTGCCCAAGAATTGGTCCATTTAATTAGTAGTAAATGATTAATTTGTAGGATAATTAGCAAAAAATGATTAATTGTAGTACTAATTATGATAAATGTGGAACTCCAAGAGTGTCTTAATTATTAACCTAGACATGGCCATTTTATTTAAAGTCCCAAACATTTTCTTTCTTATCATGGCAAGCAAACAATTACTGCTTTATAAATCAAGATCAATCTTAGTAATTTACTCATATCCTATAAATGGAGACGAACTCAAATCACCTATCTAATTTAAGTGTCATAAATAATGTAATCACATTACACTACTTCATTTAATTTTTTTTTTTTTCTTTTTTCACGCACACAGGACACAGATGTGCTATGGCTAAGAAACCCATTTCACAGGCTGAGCAACAACCAAAGCATAGATCTTCAGATCAGCACCGACAATTTCAACGGCGATCCACGTTCCAAAACCAACCCTATCAACACAGGCTTTTACATGGTGAGGTCCAACAACAAGACCATCTCATTGTTTGATGCTTGGTACGCAAGAAAAAACAGTTCCCAAGGCATGAAAGAGCAAGATGTTTTACAAGGAAAGATTAAGGAAGGCATTTTTGGAGAGTTGAAGCTCACGGTAAGGTTCTTAGACACTCTCTACTTCAGTGGTTTTTGTGAAGATAGTAAGGACTTTAGGGCAGTCACGTCCGTTCATGCAAACTGCTGCCGTACGATCGACGCCAAAGTGGCGGATCTCACGGCTGTGATTCGGGATTGGAAGAGGTTCAGATCATCAAGATCCTTCTCTAATTCCAATCAAACGTCGGCCAGTACGTGGAAGTGGTCTAAGCACATAGCATGCATTCATTCGTGGAGTAATTAATTACAATATTAATATTTGGGGAAAATAATAGAAATTCTCCTTTTTTTAGGTTCATGTGAAATGTAATGTTCATTAAAAATTCCACTCCTCGATGTGAGGTTTATCCAAAATAAGATAAGAATACCATTAATGACCTCAATTTTAAAACCACCTCTGGTTCGAGGTTTTAATTCGAGTTGAGATGTAACGTTATGTGAGAGCTGTTATGAAACGTGAGTTTCCTATATTGTGGGCCACATATTTATTCAATAATTATATTAAGCTATTTAATTAATTAAGCTAATTAAGTTATCTAATTCTAAAAGCCCAAATAGTCTCCTAACAGGGTATGAGCTGAATGGGTGGATACCCATATTGACCCAATTAGGTTTAATGGGAGCCTAATGAGGTAGTATATAAAGAAACTTAGGTTATGGTCCCCGATACGTCAAATCATTCAGCAATTTTCAATCTTCCCCATCTAGAGAGAAAACACCTCATTAAGGAACTAAGGAGATTTGACTGAGGAAGGCAATAACCGTCGTGCTCGTTGTCTTAGAGAATTCTACTGGAGATTAAGGTTGCATCAATGGAAACATGTATTTGTTCTAATCTGTTTTCTTAGTAATTTGGTGTGATGATTCCTGAAATGTGGAATAAGGATTTAAAGATCTAACAAGTGGTATCAGGGCGGTCATCACATTAAATTATTGAGAGAATTTTCATCTCCAATATCTCCGGTTGAATATCATGTTAATTGATTCATATGATTTTTCTTTTGTTTATGAAATTTTAGATATGCTTTATTTTGTTAAGAATAGCATGTATATAGATAATTATATGAATTCTTGGTGATTGATTTCGATCTATTTGTTGAATAATTTTCAGATTAATTGTTATTCATAAAATTTGAGTGTCTGAAAAACTAAGAATTAAGAAAATTAGGTAAAAGGCTTTCTGGAAATATATATATATATATAT